TGATGATGATGATGATGATGATGATGATGATGATGATGATGATGATGATTCTTATTATTATTACTATTATTATTTCTGCAGTATGTGCTATGTTAATCTTATGTTATGAAGTGATATCTAATATGTCTACCATGACTCTCCAACAGGTCTCCTCTCATGTCGGCTCCTAAGAGGTCGAACCTCGAACCGGTGACCTGTCGGCTTCGCTTCACCCGAAGCGAACCCACTCCGAAGTCCGGCTCCATGCGGGTTCGACGGATAGACGACCTACCCTACGGACGTCCAGTCTGACCCAGTCAGTCTGACCCAGTCAAAGACTCTGGTCCTGCAAACCTTGACCTTAATAGTGTGAACTTGTATGACCAAGTCCAGTATTTCATGAGGTCAAACTGACTTGTAGGGCTACTATCAGTGAAACAAAAGATGTGCTACTAAATTCAGTGATGTGGGTTTTAGAACGATCCTAATACCTTAAGGACATTGAAACATCTTAAAACAACAATGTGGAGATGACCAATGACTCTGACCCAACATAAAGTTCGTCAATTACGCCACCAGCACCACCCAAAGCGTGCTTTTTGGATGTAAAACACATGGTCAGGGGAATCAGGCGGGTCTACAAACACACCCTTTGGGTGCTGACTATATCGTTTTCGTTGGGGTCATTTGTTGGATTCTCCCGGAACAGAAGAATGTGGTATACACTCCTTGGCGTCCTTGGGCCAACGTGGATGGCACGGCTCCAAACATTCTGCACACCAAACCGGTGGTGAACTCACTCCACCCACCGCTGCTTGAAACTGGCAGGCCGTCCACTCCAACGAACACGTCTGGACGTGTGGAGAGAAGGAAACCGCCTGTTCAGACCATGCCATGCCACTTCGGAATGTGAGTCGGTGTGTCATCTGCTGACTGGTGCGACTCGTAGGGAATATGGGAATGGATCCTGAGGGGTCTACAGTGGGTGGTTCATTCCCTCAATCCCTACGAGTCGCACGAGTCTGTCTGCTTGTCTTTTCAGCCACCACGTGGCCTCTGTGCCGCCCATCGCGCACGCAGGAGGCACGGAAGGGTGTCGTGCTCCTGGAACGCTGTCTTTTCCACAAATGACCAGCAAAGCCAAAGCCATTGAACACATACTAACATGTTCCAACAAATTTGTAAAAGCCAAAGTCAATATTGAACATACCCGGAAAAAAAAACACACACACACAATCACATGGTCAAAACAAATTCCAAAACCAGGGTTCAAGCATGTTTAAGCTGTCAAGGGCCATGGCCAGGGGTGAAAGCATCAGAAGTCATGGTGAAGTCAAACGTTCCTCTCCGGGGCGGAAGTCGTTCCTCTTCAGTGCATTGCGACTCTTCGCAAACAATGTCACTGTGACTCCTGAAGCTTCATCAACAGAGAATGATCTAACCAATGATGCGTTGGTAGGGGAATAGTCGAGGGACCCCCCCGGCGCCAGGTAGAAGAAATACCAGCACATGATCGGGGGTATCCCTTCTATTCCTACTAAGTGAACCAATGGTAAAAGGCTATCTTTGGATCTGACTCCTCGAATTGCAAACCGGGATTCCTTTACGACCCCGCCAGGACAAACTCAAAAATCTCACATGAGATGACAATCATTGCCACGGCTGCCCACAGAAACCCCCAAAGTTGTGTGTTTCAGCACATGTTCAGCATAGATGGGCTAATTCCGGTGATAGTCAAAGACTCGTATCTAGTATGGTCACCGTCAAAAAAGAATCACAGGCATCCGCTGTGTTCTTCGGACCACACATCGACCGGTCTTCACGCGTGTTCATCACTTTTTCACTTCTTCAGACTCGACGACCCTCTTGAAACCAGCTGCACTCACCGAATCCCTTCGCCTTTCTCCCGACCGCGGAGCCGTGGCCGTCCTGCAGCTCATTGACTCCCGCGCGCCCACACGGCCACAGCGGAACTCACCTCGGTGACGGGCTGACGGTTCTTCCGATCCGCAGGGCCGCTTCGGCGCGCCACGTCATGCGGGCTCGGTCAAAGCGCGGGTGGAGGACAAACCATGACTCCAAGCAGTCAGTGGTGATGGATGTTAGTGGTTTTCTGACTGCTTTTGGTTGATGTGTTTGTTCACTTCCTTTTGTTTGCGAGGATCAGATTTGCTTGACATATTTGTGAAAGCTATATCATGTTTGGAAAAAAAAAACACGGAACACACGTGATGCCGGTCATTTGAGTCTTTGAGTTGGTGGGGATTGTTTATTATATGGAAAACACCACACTCCATCAACCTCGTCCTCGTCCACCCGCTCGCTCCAGTGCCGCGGGGTCACGGTGCAACGTTCGGGCGGCGGCCCAGCGGGGCGCGGCGGACCGCACCGCGTCCTGCGTGGCAGGCGCCGGGGCAGACGGAAGCGGCTTCACCCGGGGGCTGGGTGGCTTCACCGCGGAAGGAAACCGGGGGTGAAGAAATCCGAAAGAAATCCTGGTCTGCCAGAACCTTCAAAGTGACCTGACACGAGATCCCATGACATTCTCAGAATGAGGCCAACTTTTAGTCTCAAGAAGGCTAGGAAAAGAGACTCCCAAGGAGGTCACGAACTATTCAGGTGGTGGATGAAGCTGAACATGTGTTGAATTGAGCAGGGTCTTCGGTGTCTTCACCTGTGTTCACCATCAACTGGATGTACCCAGAGAAGTTTCCTTCACAGCCCTTTCCCGGTCCCTCAAAACCCTATAGGCATTGGTGAGAAAACCCAGACCCCTCCAGAGGATTCGGGCCCAGCTAAGGCGTCTGGGGTAGTACCCCAGTTTTGAGACTCTGCAACGTGCTTTTGGTTTCGCAGATTTTTGGGCTGCGTTGTTTGTGGCATCTCTGAGCCGGTCCTCAATCTCTCTCAAGCAACCGTGGAAGGACGTCTCTCCGCCTGGCAAGACAAGCACCTGTGACGCCAGAGACATGCTGATCCTAGGCCAACATCTGCCAGAGATATGCTTAAAGAAATCTATGAAAAGCCTAAGCTTCTCGTTCTCTGTCTTCATACACCCCTCCCGCCGCATGCCAAGCGATTCGAATCACGGTAAACGAACAGCGGAACGCATGAATGAATCTGCTCCGCCCTCCGAATCGAAGCATCGAGTTATACTATGAAACGAGTCCCAATGAAACGATTCCCAAGGAAGCTACTTGTTACTATTAGCTTCAAAGCATGCCTAGAGAGGTTGAAGGGCGCCCATCCTAATTCATTATAGCTCATCCCATCTGTCGCATCGGGCGTCGGCGTGTGGCGGCGTGTGGCAGCCTCGCCCCAGGCGTTGGCCCTGAAGATCTACGGTGGCCGACAGCAGAAAGGCCAAGATGCCCTGCAGGGCGTCAACTGAACCAGGTCACTGCTCAAATGCCACTACCACCAACAGAGGTTGAAGAACCCTATAGACTATCCCAGTTGGGTACCCAACCTCTGTTGGTACCAGTTCAGGTCACTATCCACCTCTGATGGCATGCGGCATGCAGTAGATCTCTGAGATGGGAATGGGTCGTGGTGGAGGCCCCCCAATGCCTGGGTACCCAACCTCTGTTGGTACCAGTTCAGGTGACTATCCACCTCTGTTGGCATGCGGCATGCAGTAGATCTCTGAGATGGGAATGGGTCGTGGTGGAGGCCCCCCAATGCCACTACCACCAACAAAGGTTGAAGAACCCTATAGACATCTATAGACTATCCCAGTTGGGTACCCAACCTCTGTTGGTACCAGTTCAGGTCACTATCCACCATGCGGCATGCAGTAGATCTCTGAGATGGGAATGGGTCGTGGTGGAGGCCCCCCAATGCCACTACCACCAACAGAGGTTGAAGAACCCTATAGACTATCCCAGTTGGGTACCCAACCTCTGTTGGTACCAGTTCAGGTCACTATCCACCTCTGTTGGCATGCGGCATGCAGTAGATCTCTGAGATGAGAATGGGTCGTGGTGGAGGCCCCCCACACCAGACAGTCGCACGACCGACGCTCAGTCGGTTCCGGTCGGTTCCGGTCAGTCGCTTCGGTGCCCAAATCCCAGCCATATCCGCTGGTACTGAAACTGCTACATGTTTGAGGTCCAGTTCACCCTGGGTGTGAGGGTCAAAACCCTACCGAACTGAGGGTCCAATGAGCCGTTGGGTGGTACTGAACTCTAGTACCTGACTTCTTCAGTTGACCCAGACTGAGATGTTAGATGCTGCCACCAAACATGCTTCGGCCACCAAACAGGTCAGTTGGATCACTGCTTGGGACCTTCAAGTGCGGTCACCGAAGCTGGTGGCGAAGCGAAGCTGGCGAAGCCGTGCGTCGGGCGTCTTCATGGTGGTTGTGGTGGCGTGGGGGTGGTGGGTGGAGGGTTTTGAGAGACCAAAGTCACGGTGAGGCCGGAGGCTTCCCCGCAGCCGGAGGCTTATGAAGGAGGGGGGCTTAAACCAAAAATGACCAACTGTTCGTTGAGTGAATCATTTGAAAAAACAACCTTGGAGATGAAGGAAGGAGTCTGTTCATGGCTTCGGAAATCGTTCCATGGATGATCCATGGCGATCAACACATGTGTGCCAGCCAAACTACTCCGTCTGGGTCGTTCTGGGTCGTTAGGAGGCTGCCTTCAGTTTCTTCATATCCAGTTGAGGGTCTTTTACACGTTCAGGTGTGGCATAGGGATTTCATGCGGTTTGTGAACCTCCATCAACACTTGGCCTGAAAGAGGCCCAAGCGCTGCAAGAACCGCAGCAGCTGCTGTCGCTGCCGGGAGCTGAAGCCATGGAGGTCCAGGAGAACTTTCCCAACAAACGCTTCGCCTGAAGCGTCGCTTCGCAAGTCGCGGTTGAAACGCTTGGTTTACTTTTTGGACATTGGGAGTGACGATCGATCAACATAAATGCAGTATATATAAAAGGTGGTTACACCTCCCAAACTCACCCTAACCACCTTCTCAGGAGGTGGTTGGAGCCCTAGGGTATATAGGCGTTTGTCTCAGAAGCAGTGGTGTGCTTTTTGTTTGTTGGGGGGTCATGTGTGCCATTCACCGTGTGTGGGCCATTCACCGTGTGTGTTTTGAAGGTTTAGCAGGTGGTGCTGGTGCTCATGCAATATGCCTAGGGCTTGGTAAGTTCTGAAAGGAATCAGTGGGATCGGTGGACAAGTGCCATTCAACGACCAGTTTTTTCAGCTTCGCCCCAGTTTCTCCTTGTCGGCATTCTGACATGCCAAATTCAAAGCTGAATATATGAATGAATGAGTGGCAATTGTGATTTATTGGATTGGTGTGAATTGCGTTGAGGTTCTAAGCCTTTCATCCGCTTCGCAAACGCTATGTCTTTTCATACCTGCTTCCAAATCCATCAAATGTAGAGCGACTGTAGATGAATAAAACACCACAAATTTAAGAGGATTGTCGCCTGGTTTTACAATCCAGAAATCAGTCTTTCTTTAGAAGTCAAAATTCTACCTTACACCCAAACAACCCAGACATCACAATGGAGTGAAATCAAAAACAACAATCGCAATGACTTTAGCATTAGCAATCCCGGCAACTGTTAGACCTTTGACTCCCAGAGCCTCCAGGTGCACTCTAAGTAGTTGACCCTAAGTAGTTTATATTTTTTGGGGAGCTACTAGTAGCTTCTTGTTACTAGTAGTAATGGCCTCCAACCAAAAAGCGATGGCCTCCACCCTAGTAGCTTCTTGTTCCTCGTAGTAATGCCAGGACTCTTTTTCACGGTCATTGTCTTCGGATCAGAACCCCTGAGGTCTCTTCACCACCCGCCCCTCACCTTCCTCCCCGACCGGCGCAGGGCAAAACGCGGGCGCCGCCTCGAGGGGCGCGTGCGTTGAAGTCACAGAGGTGTACCACAGGGGTGGGTGGGACCATGAGCCCAGAAACCACGGAAACATGTTTTTGTTATAGATACTATATATGATGTACCAATATTTTCAGTAGTCTATACAGTAGTATACATTATACATTGTTATATTGTATAAAATATAGTGCTACTGAGTGCTGCTGCTTCTTTTGCTACCTCTACCGCAAATATACAGACAACGCACATTGAACCAGTCCACAACTGGTCTAGGAGCAATATGGTCAAGCCACCACAACCCAAAAGCCACCACAACCCAAAAGCCAAAAGCCACCAACAGCCAAAAGCCACCACAAGCCAAAAGACAGAAGCCGCCAAAAGCCACAAGCCACCAAAAGCCAAAAGCCGCCAAAAGCCAAACGCCACCAAAAGCCAAAAGCTGCCAAAAGCCAAAGCTAACAGAAAGCCAACAGCCGCCAAAAGCCCAAAGCTAACAGAAAGCTATCAAACCACCAACGGTGAAAACAAATCCCAAAAGGGACGCGAAAAAAGTCCTTTTAAAAAAATGTGTGTTCCCAAAAAATACGTCCCTTCTGTTCCTTTGCTTGTCAGGGTGATCGGTGATCGGGGACCTGGCCTTGCAAAATGGCATCATGAAGCATCTCACCAGTGCGACTCAAAGGCTTTGTTAGCCTTTGTTAGTTAAGGAGACCCCGCAGGGTCAGGGAGGCCCCTTAGATGGCAGGCGCCCCGAAGACCAAAAGAAGTGGCCATTCTACTTCAATGCACGGCAACGCTTGCAGTCCTCATCCAGAAACATGTTGGATGATTGGCACATTGATCCGCCCGCCCTTAGGGCACATAATGATTCCTTGATGACTCACCACATCGTACATTCACCACCCCTGTCTTGACTTGATCCCTCGTATATACAACATCCGCAAACTACTAAGATCTGCTAAGTACACATGGCGTGGAATCTGAGAACAAAAAAGCCCAGTTCCTTCACAGGATCCTCGGATTCCGCCGGATTCCGCCAGGTCTACCGCGGTCTACCCTCACACATCACAGGGTCACCAGAAGTTGGTCTCGTATGACCCCGGTCATCACTTGCAACAAGCGTTCACCGCTGCAAGGATGCGGAAGAGCAGAAGCAGGTGCTAGCTTCGTCCTCACGACGTCCTAGCACCCCCAGCTTTCTCAAGCGGAAGCCTCCACACCCCCCAGATCCACAGCTTTTGCTGGAAGCCACACCGCGGCGAAAAGCTCAGCAGCAAGGGCCAAGCGGAAAACGGAATCTGTGAGACGTGCGAGAAACTTTGTACAGGACATGACATATTGCAAACAACAGCCACGAACATCCAAAGATTGCAGCATTATACCACCTCTCTTTAAATAAAAGATCGTAGCAAAAGAAGTAGCTTCCAACGATTGCACTGAAGCCAAGGGCTGCCAGAAATACGATGCCGAGGTTGATGAAGACCTCTCCACAGGTTGACCTTGCTCTTTGGCAGTAGTGACACGTGAGGAAGGTACAAAAATCCGCAATGATGGGACCACAAAGAAGCCAAATCACCAAGCCATCAATCAGCAAGTGAAAAGCCTCCAGACCCAGTGCTTGAGTCCATGAGCCAGCTACATCAATCACAGCCCAAAGAATTGGACTAGTCACACAGAGGCACCAGCCTCTTGTGAAGACATGATTTCGTAATCCTCGAGCTACCACCTCAGACAACTCAAATCTGATGCAATCCTCAAAGGCCTCCGGAGTCCTTGGTCGTTGGCTGTCCAGGCACCGGGACTAAAAAGAACACCAAGACCTTCCCAGTGACCTTTTTGGAGTCCCTAAGTGACCTTTACAAGCCTAAGTGACCTCAAACCAGGGGATCAAAAGGTCACTGGGAAGATCCAAACATATACCTAGTACCCTAGCCTTCAAAGACCATTAAAAGAATGGTTGACCTGGTGCACGTAGTGTAAACATCCTTACAACAATAATTAAATGGTGACATATGGTTCTTTGGGACCATTTGGGATTCAAACCGAAACAGTTGATCGAATCCCGGGGATTGACTGGGAGTCCATCACCTTCCATCACGATCGAAAAACCAGGAGTCCCGAACCAAATGGACACGCATTCCTTCACGATCTCTCGGTCGCAAAGGAGCGAGACTCCCTCCAGTTGGTGTCCGCAATCGCAGCATGCACACCTGAGGGACAGCATCCAGAGTGACGACCGGTGCGACTGAACTACGAACGTAACAAGAGGACGCTACGAAGGAAGGGGCCCCTGGCATCGCGACACGAACGGAGCGATCGGACGCTCCGAACGGGGCTCCTGGCCATATTACTAGCAACAAGAAGCTACTATAGTAACAAAGGGCATCGCTACGAACGGATGCTGAACATATATGCCGCCCCAGAAAGACCGTTGACCCGTCAACCACCCCGGGCCCCTCGACCTGTTCCTGACAGGTCGTGTCTGCTGAAGGTCTTCCTTCGGTGTCTTTATCCCTACACCGACCGAAGTCGTACTGAAACGAAACGAAGGTTCGCTCTGGACACTCCTGGCGACCACCCACCCGTTCGCTCAATCACTCATGACTGATCCCCTATAACCTTCTGTTCGATTCAATGGTTGACCAAATCCTTCGATTGTTTGGTATATTATATGTTAACATGCACGAACCCCTAAATGGTTAGTTGGAAATCCTCGAGTTCTAGCATGTTTGGAACTAGCACTTCGAACACGAAGATGATATCACACCCGGGATGACCGGCATTTTGGCAAGGCCACTTGCAGTGGTCGAAACTGATGTTGCGCAACTTCTCCTTCAGTGTGAACACAGAGCGGAAATAGGCTCTGAAAGCGATACAAATGAAATAGCCGCAGAGCAGGAAGAGGAAGAGAACACCGATGATCGGAGATTTCGATTCCCACTGCCCTGAGTCATAGGGCATCGTGGTGAGAGGCAGCATCGCAAAAAAGATCCCGAAGAAAAGGATCATTGAGCAAGGTCCCAAAAAGGTGGGCCTGATGAGTAATCTTTGTTCGGACGTCTGCTTACTCTTCAGGAAAGCAGACAGCTCGAATACGCACCAAAGACGATCGCTCCACGTCGAATCCCAAATCACCAGCATTTCCTTTCACAGTGTTGCCATCGAAAAATCAGAACAGGAAGGAACTAGAGTTTTAGCCCCTGGCGCCTGATTTCCTGTCGACATCATCAGAAAATCACGACTTCATCTGGAGAGTGAGGTCAACAAAAAGAAACCATCTTCAGTACCAGAACCTTCAAAGTAACCTTTTGAGATTCCAGAATGAGGTCACTTAGTCCCCCAAAAGAGGTCACTTACAGACTCTCAAAGAGGTCACTTTGAAGATCCTAGTATAGAAAAGCATGTGAATGCTGCTCAAAATGAGCCACCGACCGGTGCACACAGGCACCGGAACTCGGTGCTGCTCGAGCTACGGTCCGACCTAAGGTTCATCCGAGGTTCATCCGATCGTTTCAAGATCCCTCCCAAGCTGAAAATGCTGGCTCTCCTTGGATTTGCTGGAACCCTTTTATAGCAACATCGAACCATGCCTGGACCTCCTTGAAAATAAGGGGGATTGTCACAAAAAAACAGGAGATGAATACAACAACAATACTTCACTTCAAGTGATCCCCACCATGGCATTATACTCGGCCATATTGCATGAACATCACCGCAAATACTGGCGAAGTATGGCATTCTAGCTGGCATATATTCTGGCATTCCATGTGGTATATTGTCACGTATTCTGGAGGAGGGGGCGAGGAGAGGAGGAGGAGGACGAGGAGGAGGAGAAGAGGCAAACGAAGAAGAGGACAGCTCTCCTAAAATCTAACCCTCACCTAGCAGGTGGGGAATCACCTTTTTTCGCAAAGCCAAGGCGTTCTTCTGCTCTTTCTTCTCATCATCAATACAAATCCGATCCAGGAAAATCAACTGTCGGGAGCGCCACAGGAGCAGGACACTGACGCTGATCAGAAAACCGCTGCCCAGTGACCAGGTCGACCAGCCAAACCTGGCCGCATCGCCCGGTCCGGTATGCAGCGACCAGCGAGCTCAATGCGGACATGCGAATACCACACGAAGGGGCCGGTTTCGTGTGGGGTACCGCAGAAAACCGAAGGAACACAACAACTCTTTCTCCATGCCAGAGGATTCTCCCGCCAAGTTCGAACATCAAACACACAAAAACAGCTAGAACATATTCTCGTGCCATGCCAATTCGGACACCGGATTCGGATCCCAATAGCGAGCTTGTAGGAGTAGCGAAGCATCAACTCCGCAACTCCACTGGAAAATATCCTCAATCCGAACCCAGAAACTCCACGTCCGTGCGGTGGAAGCCAGGCAAGAGCCCCAAACAGTAAAGGATCTCCATGATCACGGCCGAGAAGGAGCCTTTCGATGCGGAGACTTTGGGTGGCAAAACTTGCACTTAAAGTGACACTGCCCAGAGGCGACCCTGGACCGGACCAACTGCTACATGTTGGTCGGTCCAGTTCACCCTGGTTGTGAGGGTCAAAACCCTAGCGAACTGAGGGTCCTGTGTTTTGTTGACGTGAATTTCACGTAAGGCTACACACTTTGGACCTGCGCCAAATTGTTTGGTTGGGGTGACGAATGTGTTCAAGCGAACACATCCAAGATCAGGGCTTCAGCCGTTGTTGAGAGACGAGGTGTTCGCCCAAGAAGCCGAAGAGAATTGCAGGCAAGCCATTGTAGTGCGCTAAGAGTGTCAAGATCTTCATCCAGTGCCCGCCATGCCATGAATGGGACCAAAAGCAACGTATCTTCTCAGTCACAAAGCTTTCGCGGTAAGGGTTTCCTGCGAGGGACCACTGAAAAAGATACAGCAGGCGTTTGGTTTGACATGCTGAATGTTGGCCAGTTTCCTCTCACGTTTATATCTGGAATGCGTACTCATGATTCTACGGGTTTCAGGGATCTAATTAATATATGATTTCTCTCTCTCTCTCTCTATATGCGGCTTCAGCGTCGTAGAAATCGCTCCTGTATAGCACCTCAAGATGATGCATATACAGACCGATTTCGAACTGCCAGCTAGAGCCCACACCTATAGAGGTTTATTTGACCTCTGTTATCGGAACAGACGATCCTTTGAGTCTTTGGTGGTCCAACCGTCACTCAGCTCCGCCAGGCAGCTCACCATCTCGCTTGACACCGCCCACCCGTCCGCTCCTGGCTGCGTGGGGTCTGGCGGCCGGAGCGCCTTGGCGCAGGAGTCGAAGGCGCGGTGAGCGTAGATGGCGCGGAGGACGTGCGGAGTGATGATGGCCATGCGCGCCACAAGGTTGGCCACCTGCCACGAGATGAGTTAGTTGACGAGATGTGTTGGTTGGACGAAAATGGGTGTCTTCAGATAGTAGGTTGGACGAAGATTTGGACGAAACATCCATGGGTGTTTTGATGTGTTTTGTATCTTTGGTTTCCTTGCATCTTGGGTGTGGATTACGTATGGTTCTGTGACTGTTCCTCGCCCCACACAGTTGGTGCAATGACTCTGAGACCCGGTTTTGGTGGTGAAACTGGGTGCACTTCCGACTGTTGACATTCTTAGAGCTTTCTTCTGATATCTTGGAGTGGCCAAGAAGAGGAAGATCTACCTGCCAAGCATCTTGAAAAGTACCCCTTTTTCGGGTTCCAATGGGGCTCCAAATACAAGGTACTTAGACCCTCCTGGCACCCACCCCAAACACCTTCTCAGGAGGTCTTTGGAGCACCCAAAAGATCCCAAAAGTACGTCTTCACAGTCGACTACGGAGCCAAGGAATTCCCATACGGCAGCGACTTGACAGGCTTGATTTCAAGGTACACACATCTTTGACCCTGCACCACAGCTGCTTTTCCTTTCGTGGCTGATGAGTGATGTCCTTTCTTGATGTTGAGACTGATCAGTGCATGCTAGGGAATCTACATGGCCATGACGGAGAGCCGTAAAACCAACATCATCTTTCTTTTAAAGATGGGTCAAAATGTCCGTATGTCTTCACCTTCGTAGTATCTTGGGGTCAGTCAAACGTGCGGTGCCCACCTTGCTTTGCCTTGCTTCTCGATCTGGATCATGACTAGCCTCCGAGTGTCTTCCGATGGAGCAGGGGATCACATCTGTATCCATGGCGCGAAGCGCTCGCGCTCGCGCTTCGCGCTCGCCCGTCTCGGAGGCGAACTCGATTGAGCCGAACGGGGGGGGCGCCGTTCCATCTCCGATCGAAGCCAGGTCAGCGCTTTTTGTGAACGGAATTGCCGAGAAAGAGCGCAAGGATGCAGCTCCTGCAAGCAAGAGCAACAAGCACATGATGGCCAACTGGCTCATCAAGGAAGCTGAGCAGCCTGGAATTCGGATATCGGATATCCTTTAATGGCATCAAAAGAAGCCACAACATGCCCTGTATAGGTATAGACTCCCACCAACAAATCAAGAGCCTTCAAAGATTTTCATAGAGATCCAACTTCGACGCTTGAGCGGTGGGAGGTTCCTTGTAACACTTCGGCCCCCCAAACAACAAGAGTGCTCGGTCGTTGAATGCCGGATGCCGACCGTCGCCCGACGCAGGACGTCCAGCACGAACCCCTGCCGGGTGGGTGGGGCCCAGACCTTCACCGCACGGCTCCACCCCACCCGGCCACACTGGTGCCGCCACCCGCCTGGACACTCAACACACTCCAGCGGCTCCGCTCCAGTGGAGGCAACACCACATCGCACCTGGAGGCGCGAACAGACAGCGACGCCGCGGACGCGGACGCGGTGGGATTCGCCACCAGAGGTCCGGTCATGTCCGGTCCGAAGAAGAAAGAGCGGAGACTTCGGTCTTTGATGGAGACTACTTGTTAGACTGATCATTATATACGTCAATATTTAAAGGTGTTTTGTTCATGTGTGTGTTTTTAAATGTTCTTCCATATATCCGATGGCACGGCGGTGTCGACCTGCTTTTCAGATTGACATATAGGGAAAACCTAGATGTTTTCACTGAGAAACTCTCTCAACGGAGAAACCTCACGGCTCCCAGCTCCCAGGGAGAAGATTTCAAAGTAGATATGCCATGTCAACGAGGATCCAGGAAGGGTCCAGGACACAATCAGAAATCCCTTTAGTTATAGTTCCAATGGAGTATTCTTTGTTATAGCTACGTGCTCACCTCCAATACCATCGGAAAAGGAGGTACATGGACCTTATTTTGGGTATAGCAACGACTAAGTCCTCTGAAGACTTTTCACAAGAAAATGAAGTCCAGGTCACCAACATGGAAGTGGAGTTCACCACTGTTTGTAATTAGCAATTGTCCACTTCCATGATGGTTTCAGGGAATGTATAGTCACTCATCAGCCATTCATGTCACTCCGTGTCTTGACTGAACATGTCGCAAGACCAAGCGACCGAAAAGGACACCGACAAAGGGCATAAATCTGAGTCCATCTGCAATGATGCGGCAAGCAAATGGTGTGCCTGGAGTCTCAGTTGGTACCCTGAAAAAGGATGAAACATCCCTAAGGATCAAGGACCCTCAAAGGTGAAGGTTTTGAGGGTCCAAACCCCTGCTATGCAGGGTCAAAACCCTCCAGTTCGGAGGGTCCAATGATCCTTAGGGATGGATCAATTGAGGACACCTGTTTCTGTATATAGGGTCATGTCCCATCTTCGCAGGTATACAAACGTAGTTTCTCACCGGCTTAGCCGGCTGGTTGGTCCAAGTGGTTGCGTGGCCAATTCCGCGACAAAACGGGGGGCGCGCATTCCGTGGCGTTCCACTCCCATTCCGATGGACATTCTCAGTGTCCGGCTCGGCTTTCCGTGGACATCTCGATGGAGTCCTGGCGATGGCACGAGGACGCCGTCCTGCCATCGAAGACGGCTCCACGTCCATAGAGCCACCTGCTTCGATTCCCGATGACATGTACCATTGCAAAAAGACCTGCAACACGGAACTCAAAAGTCGGCCCCAAATTGGAGATTTGTATGGGAACTCTCGCTACAAGAATCGAGACTTCCGCCAGGTTGCCCAGACTCTCAAGCAAAGAGACTGGCAAAAACACTTCAACTACTCTCAATGGATCTGACATCCACCAAAAAACACATCTAAACCTGGGCCCCCGATGGACACCCCGAAGATACCTCTTTTTGGTACCTGAAGTACCTGAGACACCTGGGTATCAAGTTGGCGCGGACGCTGCATTGTTGCGGCCAGGGCTCTCCAAGCAGTTTTCGGAATGCAAATGTTCCTCAGTGAGACATGGAAATCCGTTGAAATCCCTGTGCCGCCGGCAGCTTTCAGAAAGGGACAGCTGAAATGAAAAAAGAAGGCCGCTGTTACTATAGTAGTAGCTTCTTGTTTCTAGTGGCAAGGCAAGGCACCTTGTTACTAGTAGCGATGCCCCTTTTTTATAGATCAAAGCCCCAAGTCAGCTCCTCTTCCAGTGAAGATCCCTGCTCCCCATCACGTACTCCCCGGTTTGCGCACTGCCCGAGATCTCACGTCTGCTGGGTCGCTCGGAGACACGCCCGATACGTCTGGTTGCGAAGGTGATCTGGCCAACAATCCCCTGGGAGTCAAAGACTATAAAAAGAATGGTCTGACTAGGTGACCCGAGTTCGGGAATTTCCTTTACTTCAGCCGGTCAACATATAGTCGAACTGGACTTCAGCCGGGAACCCAGTCACGCGAGTCACGGGACTCGGGCCCTCCGTCCCAGGTCCCTGACACGTCGACGGGACTGCCAGGAACAGGACTGCCCATGATCAAGCCAGGGGTGGTTGACTGGGGGTCAATGGGGTGGCAGTCCCAGACGTGTCGTGTCTGGCATATGGAGGTCGGACCTGAATCCTCCGGTCCGGGGTCTGGGGTTTCTAATCCCGGTTTGGTTCGGGACCGGAAGGGCTGGTTTCACGGAGTGTCTGGGAATGTCATGGTGATGGTCGAAGGTTGATGGTGAAGTTGAAGACTTTATCAGCCAAGTGTGAAATGAGCAGAAATGGAATTGGACCGTTTTCGTTGCTACTGTTCAACATCACAACAACAAGGGCACCCAAGAAGGCAACCAACATGTGACATCATGTGACTGTGGCTGGGCCAATTTTGGAGCTTCATGACACTTCCTGACGACATCTCGTCGGATGGACGATGGTCGCGTGTGGGTCACCACAGGATTGGTTTGATGTACTGAGCGAAATCCACCTGTGTGAGCACAGTGCTATAACTAATCCATTGCAATCCATTGCAATCTCCCCCAAACTCATCCAAACACCGCCAATCCATCCATCCTTTTGAAGAAACCCAGCGGCGACATCTTCCGGTCGGCGCAAGGCCTCCAGGGTCTCTTCCACCACACCAAGCGCAACATCCTCCAAGCCTCCACCGATCTCACCGTGGACGAACGCGGCGTTGCGTGAACGCGAACGCGTCGGTTCATCCCGTGCCTCGGGCCACGAGGAGCAGCAAGACGCAAGCATCTGCTGGCCAAGCATCAGGTAGCATGGAGGAAAGGCTTCGAGATGGATGATTCGATGCTTGGAGATGGGGGGCCTGGGTGAGCTTTATCGAAAAGATTCGATGAACCTGAAGTTTCACTGTCACATCAAAGGACTCTCGATCCGCCTGCATTCTCCACTGGCTCCCTTCCAGAAGAGGTCAGGAAACAAAAGGTCTGCAGATCACGAAAGCGCCCCGGCTCTCCAGCGCCCCATAGAAGCCGGCTCGAGCCCCAAGCGACGGGTGCTTCAACGAAGTGTCTCGAAACTCGATTCGCGGTGCGGATGATCGGCAGGAAGAACTGACTGCTTTGTCCAGATGTCCCTGGTCGGTGCGAAGAACTGACTGGTCGGCCTTGATTCGGCATTGTGCGTCAACAGGAGTCAACAGTTTCACTGATTTGTAAGCGAACTTGCTGCGAATAGCATTCAATTTTCCTTGTGCTTCCATCGATTTTTCTGGGCAGGGAAAATCATGGGTCACTAGTCGTGCCCACTAGTGCCCATTCCAATAAACACATGCAAAAACCAGGTATCTACAGGATCCACCCACCTGGGAGAATCCTGGAAAAAACCTGAGAGCTGGTTTACCTCTCACGTCGACACAGATTGCACACCATGACCAATTCGAACCAACACCCCCCCAAACCCATCGACCATCGCGCAACCCATCGGTGTGTGGATTGATCCCCACATATCACGCGTGACTCATGAGTCAACCATGACTGACATGTCCAACTGAACGTCCCATCGACCAAGACCGGACCGGAACGACCGGGACCGTGTCGACCCTTCACGGAACCCCTTTCGTGTGGGGAGGGAACGGTTCGCTGGGCATCCGGGACGGAGGAACGTCGACCCGTCCAGGAAGAGTCCAGGAAGAGCGAATTGATAAAACATGTTTAACAAAGTCATAGCCGATTTTGAAACATGTGGACCACAACAAAATCATCCGAAAGAAGATGAACAACACCTTCAAGGGGCCACAAAAAATGCAAAAATGACATCTGACACATCTGCTGTTTGCGATTGGTCTAGGGCTAAGAGAAGTCGAACCTGCATCATCTCAAATCATTCAGAGATCATCCATGGTAGGATCATGTATGGAATATATTGAATGGGTCATAAATGAAAACCGCACATGTGTATAACTCTTCCATACATGGAGTGCCTGGCTGCCTGACATGTGTGACCTCGCCTCAAAGTGGAAGAACGGCCCAGGAAGGCCAAGCTGGTGGCCTAGCCAGCTGTATGTCATGGATGATGAACCCACCTGAGAGCTTGGGAACTGGTTGGTATACCCTTCCTATACCAAGAAGCACCGCTGGTCGGCATGTTGCCTGGCAATGGTCCTTGCCCAAAGTCACACAACAGAAAGCCAGGTCAAGACATGGAACCCAAACACGGGGAACACATCAACCGCAACGAGAAACATCCAGCTGCGACAACCAACCACACAACCAACGGACACAAATCCGAATCAGACCCTCCTCAACCCTTCTCAACCCTCCAAAGGAGACCTGTTGGAGGGTCATGGTAGATACTCTTTGATGGGACACATTGACAAATAATATGAACATCGTCTTCGCACAGTTGTCTTCCTTGAACATTGATAACACATAATGACACATAATCTCCATACTTATCTCCATCTTTTTTGGAAGATCTTCACAACAAAATGACTTCGATTTGCACGTTCGGATTCCTGGTGAAAGGTCGAGTTCATTTGCTTCAGGAATGGGGAAGACTCACAACATCTACAAGCAAACCCAGGAAACGGGAACGTCTTCAACCCCCAAACTCGCAACAAAAAGACACCATTACAGCTTATGGTGGAAGGTCTCTACACATGGAAAGCCACCACCTGCTTCTCACTTCCGTCTCGGCATGTCCAAAGGCGCCTGCGTCCTCTCCACCTGGAACATCTCGGCGAAACGAGAAGGTGGAGAGGAGGAAGGCTCCAAGGCATGAGTTTCACTTCCAAACACGACTGGTGGCATATTTACCAACATTGGGGTTGTTGACCTGGGATCAATGTATCTAAATATGCCATGCCTGGGACTTCCATGTTACTGACTCCGAGTGTATACTTTGTGAACAGTCTTCAAAGGACTTTCTCACTTTGTCGTTAATATACGTAGGGTGCAGGTACCTCCTTTTCGGATGGTCGAACGCTTCACTAAATACGAAACCAGAGAATGGTCAGCATACAAGTGATAAGTTGAAACCCATGATGGGCGACACATGCGTCTCCATGCACCTTCAGCCTTTAAAGCAAACATCTCATCATCCGTTTCATCTGTTGAGCAAAAAACGGTGTGAAGGAAAGATGTGGTGTGGGAAGCATCTTGGAGTCCTCTTGCGCGATACGTCCTGAGTCGGTTGAAACATGTTGAAACCGATGTTTCAGGAAGAATCTTCCAACTTCACCTTCCAGCGGGCTGCTCCAGCACGCCCCTCTTTTCAAAACCGCAAGCACAAAAACACACAGAGTGACGTATTGTTACCATTGCTTTGAAAAAGGTTTCATGAGAGTTCTTGGTGTCACGTGTCCACTGGATTTTCTCCTGATGGCTGTGGATCAAAGCACCGGAATCCATGACCGTTGACCTGTGAAGATGACGGACGTTTTGTGCAAGGAATGTCAACTGTTCATGCCCAAGCACTGCATGTATAGAATAACATAATATACCAGCAATGTCAAAGTGACCCTTTGATATTCCCAAGTGTCAAGGTGGTCACTTGAACAAATATATATCAAAGGGTCACTTAGCTAAATCAACAAGGTCACTTGGGAATATCAACGGGTCACTTAAGTCGATCGATGTCCATTCGATTCATGTACAACAAGAAAGATGATCATGCATGGTCACTATTGGTTCGTCATCCATCACCCCTCAATCTTCCCAGCCATCCCATTTCTTCTGGCCACAACGTGAACGTCTTCATCACGGCTGCAGAGCTTGGCAGGACAAGGCGAGGGAATGCGCTGGTTGTCAACGGGCAAAGGTTTATTAAGCTTTGGAGTAGGGTTGAAACAACTTAGCCCAGTCTTAGTCCAACCTGCGCAGCCACCTCACACAAACGTAAGCAGCCCATCTACTCAAGACTTGTCGGCCAGGAAGTCGCCCAGACGACAAAATCGCCAGGTGTTTCACCTTCCCTACCTTAGTTGATTGGTTGCCCAATTCTTCATGCAACAGGGGGTCAACATGGGTCAACATGCATAGATCAATAATGATGGCAAGAGGCCATGTCCTCGTCCCCATAGCACGAGGTGTGCATCGGAGAAAGCCGGGGTGCTTGGTCTAAGCATAAATGCTCCAGCCTTAGCAACTGGCAGGAGTGCATGCCCACCCATGGCATACAAACATCCAGCACGCATAAATTAAGGTCAGTAGCTTGTGCATTTTCGGGCGTAATTTCCAGAGAAATTCTCCACGATCGATAGATTCTGAAGCCAAACCTCGGATCAGTGCGCACACTCTCACACACACTAGATGTAGCAGGGCACAAAAACACTTTGCAAAAGATGTGCACCACCTGGGAGCTGTTCAGTGCACTCCGAAAAAGGTAGCATGCACTCTGGAGCTTTTGCACAGACTCTTGTGGGAGAAAGATCCCATGGCGAAGGCTGACAGCTTCACGAATGGCTACAGTGTTGACAAACACTGCAGCCCGCAACCTTTGACAACAAACCCGCCAACAAAACCAACGTCAACGTCCCACAGCGAGCAATATGACAAGCCATAATTGGATCTGTGGCGCTGTGAATGCATGCAATTTGGATGTTTGGCCGCCACTGCCAAACAAATCCCCATCAACCATCGTGAGAGGACCACACTCTCCTTGAATGGTTGCGTGTATTAGAAAATTACACATGGCCTTGCTTGCTGGGCAAACACAATTGAGATCCAAACAGAGCCATTGAAGTGTTTCTGAGCCAATGTTGGATATGCATTTCGAGTGCGCAAATGCGACCTGAGAAGCACCAAAAAACACGTCAGTTCAATTTACACTGCATGTTGCATCACAACCAAGCAACAACTTGTAGAATTGACCCCGGTTGCCTGAGATTTTGGGCTGCTTTCCCATGCGTGCACATGCAACAAATGCCATGCGCATTAAAGCTTAGTTTCGAATCCCGTGCTGCTTGCAAAGGGTAGTGAACTCTGCATATGCCTTTTGCAGGCGATCATCAACCGTTGCACCTGCATGCAAACATCTTACAAATCATGGCGCCATGCATACGCCGCACAGACTCACAACAATTGTCATGTGTGCCACCTTGCCACACCTCATCGGTAGTTGATAGCTCTATCAGAGCCTCAAGATATCCATGTGTGCGCACGCACGTATGTTTGCACCAGCCATGCATTTAGCGTTTACCTATTCGTCCAGGAAGCTGAAGCAGCAGCATCTGGCACCATTGTTAGATCGAACACGTGCAAGAAATCATACATCAGCACTTCTATATGCCACCCAGGGAGTCTTACCCAAGCATTCGCTTTGCACAACGCAATGAAATCAGAAGAATCCAACAAAGTTGATCGATGACGGGCGTTGGGTCCGAAGTGTGTATATAGGAGTTCTGATCCAGACAACCTAGATGCTTTGCAGTTCCAGCAGCATTGTTGTGAGAGCCAACTGACAGAAACATGGTAGGCCTTTTGAAGGTATTTTTCATCGCCACGGTGAGCCACGAGTATCCCGCGCCAGCCATTGGCGATTTCCTTTCCTGCCAGATCTCTCCGACTGGCCAGCGGCTTTCCAAAGGGATCAGAGCCAAAGTACCTCCCTAGCTGCATTTCCGTCAGGCTCCAAACCACCCAGGTGTCTAGGCCATCAAGTGTTTCATCGCAACCCTTGGAGTTGTCAAGGACGTAACAAATAAAGCGAGTCTCCCATGGTAAGGTGCTTTTCGTCAAGAGACTTGCAAAGCTATTGACATTGAAGCCGCGACGCCTGTGTGATTCCGCATCATCACCATGCCAAATTAATGGCACGCATTTCTTGAGATCAGTGGCCTATAGGTTGAACGTCAGAAACAAACGATGGTGCTGCGCGCAATCACATTACTGCAAACAGGTTACAGGGTCGCTCAATACTGGGTGCTGCTTGAAGAAGTCCGTATGGCGGAAACGGTCCCAGAACTTTTCAAGTGCCTCAAATAAAGCATTTAAACACGGCATGCATTTGTGCACATCCCACAGCGCAAGCATGACGAGTTACCCCCTCATCATCTCCAAGAAAACGTTGTCGAAAAAGCCGCTCATCATAATGGTATATGGATCCAAACCTCATTGCAGGCAGTGCGCACCCTCACCAGAGCAATTGTGAACCCCTGTGGCCCTTATGCATATCAGGCATGAACATATGTCATATACATTAAGCCATGAGTCACATCACTGGGCAGGAACATGTGCCACGAAGAGATATAGTGCTTCTTCTCACGTGATGGGTCTTGAAGTACCACTGGGACCCTTGGCTGTTGCAAAGCAATTGGTTTTGGGGAACGCACGCATTCACAAAGTATAATGATTTGCTTAAGCACTGAATGGGTTGAGGGAGCATCTTCCTCCACGGCTGCTGTGACACCCACTTCCAGAATTTCCGTTGGGCATTGTGTTCATCAGTCTTTTCCATGTCTGTGAGATCCCGCAGGTTGGACCTTGGGATTAGGGATGGATAGGAATGACCTAGAATGGTTTGCAATGGGCCTTTGCAACCCACTCAATGCACGCAGCTAGAGTTTTGCTAAGGGAACGGAAGAAGTCGTCTTGGAAACCTCTTTCGAATCAGGTTCATCATCGACACCATGGTTTTGACACAGACCTGAGATGTTCCAATCTGCCACAAATAACATGGTGTCAGTTTAAATCAGTACACTCAGATGGAGTCCAACCATGAAACCAAGCTGCCTTCCTCCCAAGTTCTAGGAACTCCTCGACCAAATCCATGATGATATATACACTTCCCAACTTGTGTGGGAACCACCAGCCAATTACAGGAATGGATCAAAGAAAGCTTCGTTGAATCAACTGTTTGCGCAAGTTTTAACCAACATTGGGACCAGGATTGAAAAAGATGAAAAAGTTGGTTGTACCACCACCCACCTCACATCCACCCCAACACTTTCAGAGCCACGACATGGACAAGACACTTGGCCACAGGCTGGATCTACGTGGGCATTTCGCAACAGACTGCAGGCCACTGTATGGGTCTGAAAGTGGCTGGTTTTCCTTCGTTTGATCATGACGCTGCTGGTTCCACACAGCGCGATCAGCATGATCTTCTATAGATCACGCTTCCCCAAACTGCTATCATCAGGGTTGAGCCCTGACAGACCCCAAAGATTGGAAGCAACAGCTTCATCGCATGGGTGGCCAACACAATGGTACCAGATTTGGATGTGCATGCATGTTGCAAAACTAATGGCCCCCCTTGCAATGGCTGCACATGTCACATGGCATCACACGTGGACATGTAATTGCAGACACCCATACCACGTCAACAACACATAGGATGTATCAAATTATAGAAAAGCAACATGAGTCCCTCGATCCAACCACATGGTGCTAATAGGACTTGGTGCCTGACCCATTGATAGTCAACTAGGACATCAAAACTGTCAGCTGTATGACATGGGGAGGATGCACTCATCAGATCACGGGTTCTTCCCTTGAGATTGCTAACCTATATATAGTTCATGTAACACATGGTGACCATGCCCACACTATCAAGATCTATCAAGCATCCTCCTCCGAAAAAGCACCATCACTCTCGCCGCTCTTGTCAGGATCCTCCTCACCTTTGGGCTTTGGGCGAGGCCCTTTTGCAGCGGTAATCCGGCGCTTCGCATCCCGAACATCGCCTTCAATTTCACCGAGTACAGTTTTTTTACTGTCTACCCAGTCGGTAAATTCAGCTGCATCAATCTCAGAAAGAGGAATCGCCGTTCTTTGAAGGGCTTCCTCAACAAGGGGTGGAAGGCGAACCTCATGCTGATGAAGCACCCGCACCTGAGATAGTTTTCTTTATGCTATGTGGGATTTCCAGTGTCCGACAGGTCCTTAATGAACCAAATGCTTTTCATTGAATGGCCTATTGGGGCCTATTGCAAGTAGGATTGCAACCAAGTCACCAGCTCATCAGAGTTTCGGACATGATACTCAGCCAAGTTCTTGACGCAAGCAGGGATATCATTTACGCATTTCTTCAGCCTGGGAATCACAAAGGAACAAACTTATAGTCAGGGCCCAGGGTTCAATTAACTGTCACAGATGGCTAAGTAGCTTTGCAAGGTATTGCTTTGCATCAGCAAGAGCGGTCTGACTTGGTGATTTCTCTTTCTTCTTGGTTTTGCTTTTGATGGCACCAGTTCTTAGGTCCATCATCCCTTGAGACTCAAGAGACTCCACTCCAAGCTTCAACTGTTTGGCAATCAACTCCTTCATGGAAGCACTTCGGACACGTCCACCAACCGACAACTCTGTGGCTGCACGTGTGCCGGTCGATGTGTTCTCTGCCACCTCCTTCAGTACCTTAAACATCTTTGCCATCTCATTGCCAGGGCATTGTGGGTGTGGAGTCCCAGACTGGCCTTGGATGGGTTGGGCTGAGTTTGGATGGGCTGCAGGGTCATGAATTTAAAGTTGACCTGTTTTGATATAACGCAGGCCAAGTGCCTTTGCAAAGTTCTTCCACAAAGGCCTTGGCCTCTTTGGTGTGCCCATACATCTGGTAGAGCTGCAACTTTGTCACCTAGAGTGGGGGTGAACTGGAAGACCTAGGGCTGGTTCTGTTAACATCACAATTCATATGCATTCATATATGCAAATCGAGAAGCCGTCACATACTTATCTGTTCGAAGTTGCTCACACCAACGAACGAACTTCTCCTCTACGGTAATGGAATCGACTTTTCCATCAGCCAACAACCATTGTTTCAGCATGGACCACCTTGAGCAGGGACCACCAGGTGATATGGAGTGAACCCTGGGAAGATGAAGTTTAGTGGAGGTTAAATGAGCCCTGTTTTAACCAAGTTGTTGGGAACACCAAGCCTTTCACCATCCGAACAAAGACTGAACTTAGCCAACAAGGCTGGCTCACATGAACGAACCACTGCCCTCCGTAAGGCAGCGTACTGTCGCTTCCTTTCCGGTCGGGGCATCCCTGTTGGGCTCGCCATCTTAGAAATCTCATCCTTCTGCTCAGGAGTGAGAATCTTGACTCTTGCAGTTTTCCCTCCACTGGAATCATCAGCACTCTTCGCACCAGAAGTAGGAGGGGATTCCTGCCGTGTTGCAACAATCTATCGATCCCAAAAATTTATCCAAAATGCCCCACTCAACAACCCAACCATTCCCTATGTCCTGGCTGCGGCAGGTGGAAGTGCCAGGGCTAGCGTTCTCAAAGACTTGCAGGCTGGGCATCGTTCGAATCCGCTCCATGGGTGGTGGTGGCGATGGAGATCTGGATCCATCACTGCCAAAGAGCTCGGCCTGGCAACCAGTAGAGGGGGTTTTGAACAACCATATCACAACGCATGGCTGGTATTTTCGATTTGTATAAATGATAGCCGCATATAACCATTGGCCAAACAATCAACCATGCCTCGATATCATCATCTTCATCTTCATATCTAAGCTTTTTCTTCTCTGGAGTGTGCCCTGTTTGAGCACCATCGTGTGACCGTTTCTCCAGATCAGCCACTTCATGGTGTGCTGTCATCTTGTCAGCATCCCTAGAGCCACTACCACTTGAGGCAGTGGTGGAGACAGCTTCACAATCCTTCTTTCTCTTGTGACTCTTGTGGCCTTTGTCCGGCGTTGTTGGCGGAGGCATCGCACTAGCATCCCTTTTCTTCGCCTTTGTTGCTTCATCTTGCTTTGCTTTTTTCTCATCAGCATCCTCAGCCTTTTTTGTCTTGTCCTTTTGTTTCTTCTCCTTCTTTTCCTTCTGGTCTGTGGTGCCCTCACCACGGGTCTCCTCACCTTTTTCTGCGATGCTTTTCTTATCCTTCTTTTTATCTTCACCCTCTTCAGCTGTCTTACCAGCCTCAGTGGAAGCTGCACGGGA